TAACATTAGTAGTAGTTGCATCAGAATCACTACAATGCCTGAACAGTGGAATATAAATGCAGAACGAAGTAAATAGAAATAGGAACGTATTAATTCCCTGGATAACACAGTTCTGTTGCTGTGAGATTGGCTGTATTCATTCACGCCATCCATTTCTTAGCGAATCTGATGAATTGGTAATGGGGTGAATGGGTCATCGTATTGACCTGATGGGGTATTTTATGAAATCGAAAATACCAGGATAAATCAGTACAATATTCATTCATTGTACGCTTTCTAATTTCTTCAACCACTTCGGTAGAGTGTGTAAGAGGTCTAGCACTTCTAATTGTATGAATTTCTCTTCAACAAAGAACAAAGAGCATTCACAATTGTCCATAAAATCAAAGAGTAATTATAGCTCAATAACTCTCTAGCTTAATGAAAATTAATTATTGACCTTTTTAACTTCAAGGCGGGAATAAGTCTTAGATGCAAACTAGATTATAGAAGTAGAAATTTTTCTTAAAATCGATATTAGAAAGTGAGAATGGTAGGCAAAAGAATTAAATGACCATAGAACTCGATTTGTGCTTTTAAATAGATGCATTTATTGCTGGATAAGCTATTGTTTTGAGCAGTTCAAATTGAAATCCAAGACTCAAAGAAATTTTCGTTCTAATTTGGGCTATGACTCCGTGGTCATTTGATGCCCAATCGAACTAAGCATGAGTTCAATTTGGACTCAGGTTTTTATTGGTTTAACGCTTATCATTATAGTGGCAGCTCTGCACTTATTCAAGTATTGACTTATGCCATTTTGGTCTATTTATTCAGGGTCTTGCGGATAACGAAGACTTGGTTGCTTTCTACACTCAACTAGCCCAAAGTCTTAATCCAGTCAACTTGGCTGGCTATATTGACTCCTACATCAATCGTACCGACCTCGGTTTGATCCGTCGTTCTGGTCATTTTTCTGAAAATGAAGCATCTGGAGAAGAGGGCCCAAGTAAACCCACATCTATCAAGGTCGATTGTTGCTTAGTTACGGGCGGGCTGGCTTCGGAGTTGGCCAGGGCGTTGTCAGAGCTCAATGGTCGTATGAACCCAGAAAAGACCCAGTATCTGATCATTCCTGACTGCAATGGGTTTGTTATGGAAGAGGAACCGGGGAGATTGGCAATCAATTTCCTTCATTTCATGAGGAATGAGGGCTTCGGTAAGTGCTAGTATGCAGACGTTATGACATTTAGTATATACATGTAATCGTGTCTATTAGAGAGGTTTGAACCAAGAACTCATTTAGGCAAACTCACGATCCATTAACGTTCATTACCATAAGTAAGGATTAAGGTAGGAAATTGAAGTATACTGTACCCATAATCAGAGGTTCATAGATCGAAACGACACTTCACTTCGGTCGATTTGTGTCAACCTTCCTTGCATACTCGTTTGAACGTGGCTGAGTTAGATTCCCTTAACAGAGAGACTGATATCTTACTCAATAGAATTTTTGTAATAAAGCTTTTATGAGATCAGTTTGTAAGATATTCATCGATGTTTGTTTTTTTTATCATTACCTTTAATCAAGCTTGAAAATTCTGATATCTTTCTCGTCTTTACCGGGGTATGTAAGCCTTTCTAGTCAACCTCTTTATATTATAGTGTGCTGATCAGTATCAATAGGTGTGTTTGCCATAAGCAAGATATTAATTTATATCAAATACCATGCTATTTGATAGTTATCATTAGCCCTTTAGCAAACTTCGGGCTTCACAGAGGGGAGGAACATCAAAGTCATAAAGTCGAGGGGAGGGGAACAGAAGAGTGATTCACAGATGTAAAAGAGACAGACAGACACAAAGGTAGAAAAAAGGTGAGTTGAATACTGTGGAAGGGTTGGGATCAGAAGAGCGATTCACAGATGTAAAAGAGGCAGACAGAACAGAAGAGCGTTTCACAGATGTAAAAGAGGCAGACAGGGAAACAGAAGAGCGATTCACGGATGTAAAAGAGGCAGACAGATGACAGAATAATGATTCACAGACGTAAAAGAGACAGACAGATATGACACAAAGTTATAAAAAAGGTAAGATGAGTACTGTGAAAGGGGGCGAATCGAAGGTAGAAATTAGGTGAGGTGAGTACTGCGGAATTAGCCGAATATGAAATGGAAGTAGAGGAAAAGGTAAGATGAGTAATGTGAAGGGGTCGAATATGACTAGAGATCAGGATATGATGAGTACTGTGAAAGTAGTCGAATATGCATACAGTGGAGTCATGGTAGTTTGAAGTTAGAAGTCAACTGCCGTTTAACAGACTTTGTTTGTCATAAGGGTTTACGTTGCCCAGGGTGCACCACGTGGAGGTAAGTCTAGTTCTAACCCCATATGCAAGATATAGGTTACAAGAATTTCTATTATGGAACTGGGTTCGAAACCGGCTTACCTAAACCAAAAAATTGTCAGTTAACTGCATGTTTCCTTTATTTAGTTATTAGCATGACACCGGAGAAGTTACGACAAGAAGCGGCTGATTTACAAATGCAAATTGCTCAGAGAACAACAGAGGCATTACCAAGTTCAGCCTACATTCTTGAACAGGAATCATAGGTGAAGCGGTCCCTTTTTTATCTCCTTGATCCCTCCTTCATTAGACCGTCTTTCCCTTCCAATAAAAATGCCTTAACTTCAATTCTTCTTGTGCTTAATGTCGTGTGTGTTCATATATGTGCTAAATTCCTTAGTTCTCTCTCACTAAACTAGAGCTAGTTACACATATTACTTGTAAACTGTGGTATATTTTGTGTAATTTTAAATAAATCATTGATATCATGGA